TGTATTAGACATAAAATATACTTTTTTTGAAACAACTTCATTGACTTCAGGTATTTTTTTACATGCACAGAACAATTGCTTTAATACACTTCTCTGACTTTGCATAAAGTACACAAACATAGCATACCCTAGTAGCAACAAGACTCACCATTTCACTTCATGAATACATTAAAGCACTTATGGTTTGGGCATTATGTGCTCTTTAGCAATGTGCTACTGTTTAATAATAGCTCAGATTTTTTTTATGAGCCTTTTCAGGTTGCATATTATGGTGCGTTTTCATTCCTTGTTAGGCTTTGCATAAGTATTTCTCTAAAAAGAGTATTTGTAGAAAAAAATTTTACTCACAAGTAAAATTTGGTATACTAAGTTTCATTCTGCTTGCCAAGCCTTTTTTCTAGTATGTTATTTCTTACAGTAATCCTTACTTATGTTCCATCCTTCCCATCCTTCAGAATAATTCAGAGGAACATATTTCAGTTAAATTCATTTAAGTGAATTTACTTTCACCATGTGTCTTGGGTTTAACACACTATAAATTAAGAAGCTGTTTGTATTGGTCTCTACGAAATGGAGCAGTTAAGAGCAATACACAAAGAAATATTCAGATTAAAATATCCTACGTGAAGGCATACTTTTTACAGTTTTTTTTACTTCATATATTGGTTGCTCCAGTAAAGCAGTGGAATTATACATACTATTGTCCTGACAGAGAAAGATTACACATGGGAGAGGGAGATATGGGAAGAGGAAGAGCCATGACACCCACACCCAACAACTGACCCATAGCTGGGACACACCAGAGACCTGCTTCTGTATGCTGGAGACCAGTTGCTCCTGCTCAAACAAGACTGTAACAGGCTGTGCAGCCCTGGCACCCAGCCTCTCCTGTGCATCTGCTGAGAGAGTCCATAGTCCATCTCTGCGTAACGTACAACAGGGAGTTAAATGCACACTTTGCTTTTCTTTTTCTCCATTAACAGTATTAGTCTGCTTCAGACAGGTGCTTCAGTGCTTGCCAGCTTTGTTACAGGTAATGCAATAAAACCCTCCTGCAGCTGATTTTATGCAATATTATATAAATGTGACTGTTTTCCAGGAAGCAAAGTATGTCAGGTTGCTGTCTCACAGAGAAGAACAGATGGCTTCCAACATATTATTGTCATGAATCATGACTTCAACACTATATATGCCTATCATATGTATGCCATCTGCATGTTACAATATACCATATATATATGATAGACCACACAGATATAATGCAATGTATCACATCACATTTTTATCTATTCCAATTTTCAAGAAAGCTCTTATTTACTGCAGAAAAAAAAAAATTATCTTAGTCTGTCTACAGAATAACAGTAAAATTACACCTACTGAGTGAAAGACCTCTCATACTTGTTCACATGTTCTTTACTTCTACCCTGCCTTCTCATATATGTGCATTTATATGTACAAGTATATGTGCATATACATACATATAAGCACATGTCTAGCTTGTAAAGGGTATCCCATTTCAGTACTGCGATGCAACTTTTATGAGTTTTCATTCTTACAAGAAATGTGTGCTAATCCTCACTGTGGTTACAAAATACCATCTCTCACAGTAATTTCCAGCATTCATCAATTATTCCTGTTCTGCTCAAACATCCTGTTCATACAACAGTACAGCCAAAATCTTATTTCTATGGGTTTATCATTTGACATTCTCTAGTTTCTGGCATCACACTGGCCTTATAAAACAGAAAAATATTTCTTAGAGTAGCAGTAGGATTCAAGAGAATAATAACTTAGCATTTTGCTTTGAGTCTTTCAGTGAAGCAGACAACACCTTCAGTTCTTCCTAGGACTGAATTATGCTGTCAATCATACCAGTTCATTGCTCTCTGCGAGAAATTCAGCTAACATCATAACATATATAGACTTGATAGGCACTGGAACCACTGGAAAGAAATATTTGATTTAAAAATCTACATCTATCCTTCAGAAGAAAGATGCCACCTTCTCCAATGGCATGAAGTTTCATAAATTAGACAAAGCAAATTCCTGATATTCTGAGGTGAGTTGGATTTTCATTCTCAAAATCTCCTTTGGAGATGACTACTCCCAGAATTTCATATAAAATAATGAGGACTTGATACAACACTCACTGAAACCAGTGGGTATTTTTCCATTTACTTATTTGGATCAGACTTTTGGATTAAGACTGCAGTGAATTTTCAAAAACAGGAAACTGATTACATACACCGACAATCTGATGTTGGATCAGATTTTATTTTAAAGCACTGGAATAATTTAATTGCATCTGCACGCCTCTGCCAACTTTTATGGTTTTATAACTATATATTTGCCATTGTTCCTGTCACTAGCTGTAAGACCCACACTGGTAGAAGAAAATGACTAATAAATTGAGTTCCCCGAGGAAAGAATAAAACTGATTATATGACAAACTCTTACCTAATGCAAAATATTCCCTATATATAGCTTTTTGAAATCAGTGGCAATATTCTCATTACTTTCACTGGTATGTGGATCTCACTAAAATAAATTAATCAGAAAGTGAAATAAAAATTATCAATATTTCTGGTTATGTCATTTACAAAGACCTTAGCCGGTACTTCTACCAGTAGTGGATAAGGAACTTTGTTCCCCTGAAAGAAAACAAATGAGCTAAAGAAGAAGTCACCAACTCAACCACCATCTGCTTTCATTAAGAAGTTTTTCACTGATGCCAATAGGAGCTTTTGAAACGAACATTTCCATAGATACTGATACATTATATTACCATAATCAGGGCATTCTTGTTGAAGAGAACATCTTCTTTGAAAGGAACATAACTGCTATATCTTCTTTCATATTTTTGCTGCAAAATTTTAATAAGATACTTTCTTCAAATCATCAGTTCCACATTACCTAGAGGAGTGGGCTGCTCAAGTATTAGATCTACTGAGTTTTGAGATGTCACAGCAAATGCCAATGTCGTTAGCAACAAAACTGATTAAGCCTCACTGCAAATGTGGCATATATAATTTACACTCAGTCACATTATATTTTAAATAATTGTCTTGTCATCCTTAAGGTTTGTATCGTAATCATGAACAATTACCAAAAAGGGAAATGCTGGATAAGTTTTATTATTTTTTTAATTGAAATTTGAAAACAACAGAAATCTCTGACTGCACGTACTAGGAAAAAAACCCCAACCCATTATAAACTATAAACCTTAGTAAAATGGTCAGATTATAATCTCTTCATAGTGAATCACTTTTGATGAGTTCTGCTTTTTAATCAATCACTGAATGTTAGGGCTGACAACATGATTGATCAGAGCAGTCAGGAAAAGCTTCAAACCATATCCCTGTATCAGACTTAATATGTGTGCACAGACACTCAGTCCCCCTAAACGAAACCAAACCAAACAAACAAAAAGCCATCGTTCAGATGCCAAAAGTAATTTAGATATAAGAGAAAAACCTCAGCTCCATCCAAGCATAATGTCCAGATTTCACGTATTCAGATTCTGGGTTCATTCAATTCACTTGTAAGCACAGGGCTTGGTTAAATCATCCTACGTCCTTCCCCATTGCTCAGTGACCAGCTACAGTACCTGATTTATTCTGCATCTTTTTTAGCTCTATGTGATTAGCAAAGGACTTTCAAGATGATACCTACAGTATTTAGGCCTCAGAAGCCCTGTTTTTTAGGGCAGATTGTGCAACACTAATTAATCTCCTTCAAGGCAACAAGGCACCAAGTATACCAGCCTAAAAAGCATATTACTGATGATGCTTGAATTTGTCTTCTGATGTGGCCTGTCTTCTTGCTTGGATCTTAAACTTTTTTTCAATCAACATTACTTCAATCAAAAGTGTTAACAGTACACGTTTTGTTTGGATTTTTGGTTGGCTAGTTGGGTGGTTTTTAGATCTTTGGGCCTTCTGTTACTAGTCTGGGAACATATTGTGCAAACAGAGAACTCCATACCTCATATCTTCCTCTCTTCTGGGGCTTGGAGAATACTGTCTGTCAAAGGTGACAACATTATACGGTACTTCTAAGACCCTGTGGTTCACAGCCAAGGCTCAGACATCAAAACACCATTTTCCTGGACAAGTGAAGCTCTTTGGTTTCTTTGCTTTGTCCTATTTGTTTCTTCAAACTTCTGTGACTACCCAATAGCTGACATTTATTCTAACTGTCAAGTCACCCTCATTTTTCTCTAATACAATGCCAAAATGCTTGCAAGTGACAACCTGTACAGCTCCTCAGTGTTGTTCTGCTTTTAACACTGAAAACTGTAGATCAAATCCTGATTCTGCTGTTCTCTTTGGCAGATGTTTTATTACTTTCATCAGTAGCTTTTTTATCACATTTCCTACTATTTAGTTTGAGAATGCTGAGGTTTGTTATATTCCTACCCCTGAATGGAATAGATTCATGGGAACTTAAAATTGGTGGTTTTGTCAGTGTTACTCTGACATGCGCATTAACATGCGTGCTAGCAGAGTTTCTACATACGCGACTGTAAACATGTAATTGTCTTGCACCTTCATCTAAGAAAATTGTTTCAAATAAGTGATTTTAATAGTTTAATGTAGGTAAACAATATTTTCTACTTGTTTAAACATAATTTGTTCACCTTGTTCCAGGGACGTCATATACATGTGTTGGGTTTTTTTTAATTCATAATATTATTTGCATTATCTGTACGTTAACAAGCTTCAGAGCTTCTTCAAAGATGGAGCTCATCTGAAGCCTGCAAAAGAGTCTCTGGCTGTTATGTTATTCAGTCTTTAAATTTCATTTTTCTGTAACATTTTAAGAATCAAAACTCAAATGGCTCTCATTAAACTTTAGTGTACAACTTAAAGCTTCTCTTCTTTACCCGATTAAGAAGCCTCCAAAAATTAGGGATATGGTAGCCTGCCAGTGCTGACAGCTTAGACTGCTTTTCTTGCAGGCCTCATTTAAGAGCACTAGTTTCCACTTCACATAGGAGAACAGAAAATGTTTTGGTTTAGTCCGATTGGTTTAAACTGACTCAACTCCACAATCTGCTTCACTGCATGTTTCCTCCTAACTGGAAATGCATGCACAACAAGCCAGTCTCTCTCTGGACTACATTCCATATGAAGTCAGGTACCTGGAACCATCTCTTTATTTCGTTAGTTGCGTGGATACAAGGTCCAGCATGTCAACAGTGACAAGTGATTTAGAGGCTCTAGCAGGTAGCAGTACCTATTCTTTGTAAATATGCAAGTGTCTTGGTCACACTGGGGCTCTTGGCCCACACCCAGCCTCATCCTGCAACACCCCAGCCTTACCCCTCCCCAGGCTGCTGCCTGGCTTGTGCTTGGGCCAGCCTTATTGCCCAAGGAAAGTCCAGCCACCGTTATACCCCAGCCACCGCGGCTGGGAGTGCCCGACTCTCCTCATCAGCCATGTCCTGGCCTTGTGGCCACCATCTGCCTGGCTCCCTTCTGTGTACAGTGCAGCCCCCTCCTTTTGCTCCCCAATGGCTCTGCTTGAAACAAATGTCACCACTCACAGGCAGCTCTACATTAAGGGTACTGTAATACCATGTCAAAACTAGATACTCGTTAATTGATACTTTTGGTTTCTCAATCTTTTGTGTTAAGTCTGTCATCCTATAAAGATTCTGAAAAGATATTTTCTTTGCCCCATAGTTTGCTCAGGTGAGGCAAGAAAATTAGGCATCACTTTGTCTAAAAAGCTTATAACTCCATTTTTTTTTCTCATAGTATAAATACAGTGGGTATCCTTGCTATTTTCTCAGTATAAATGTACTTCTTGCTCATTCCTCCAGAATAGACGACTTTCACTGGACTACATTCAAATTAATTCTTGCCTATCTGTAATTTTTGATGCTCTTTCCTGAGCTGCCCAGAGTTTCTGGTAATAGTGCTTATAATAGCATTGCTCACTGTTTTTTTCCCAGCATCAGAATATCATATTTATAAACATTTTATTACTCTTATTGTCACATTCTGCTGTCTTTTTTTTTTTACAGAACCTCTGAAAGAGCAAGCATGACACAATTCTTGTGAAAGTTGCTCACCTTAGGGAGCACTACCTGAGCATAAACACGCATTCTGTCTTCCTGGGGGGCCTTGTCAAACTCTGCTGATACATCCGGTATAGAAAAGCACTTGTTGATATTAGCCTCCAAAATTCCACCCTTATCAGAAAGTAAGAAAATACTAAATTTCTTTTTATTTTCTATTCCAAAATACAGAATCTTTGCTTATCCAGTGCTTGTAGGCAATGATATCTGAAGTTTTTCAAATCCTTATGCAAAAAGCTTATACACTTCCTTCTCTGGGCTTTGTTCACCAGTGAAGAATTTTCAGATGGGGATGTTCCTCCAGAACTTTACTGTTCTGGGTGGGTTGGCACATTCAGTCAGCAGCTCACTTCTTAATTTTACATTCTTGCTCTGATTACTGATTGAAGTCATATTCTACATGAAGCGCAGAACCCCCAGTATTACTGAATTCAGTAGCATCTGACTTTGAATGATTATGAGAAACACACACTTTTCAACCAGTCACTCTCAAGTATAAGATTCCAGGTCTGCATGTAGGTTGAAGTTGTGTTCAAACTGCCTTATGCTGTCTTCTGCACTTACAGAAAGTTTCCATTCTGCATGAATTTTTGGCGGGTTTTTGGTTTTGTTTGTTTGTGTGTTTGGGGTTTTTTTCAGGGGGGAGTGTGTTTGTTTGGTTTGTTTTGGTGGGGGTTTTTGTAATATAAGGTAATTAGGGATCACTCTAAGTCTGTGCAAGAAATTTACTGCCATCTGTCTCATTCCATCTTGCTGAGGATAGCAGCATTAGACCCAGGCTGTCAGTCTGAAGCTCAGGTTCAGAGATCTCAAGTTCATACTCCCTGGCTGATCTCATTGCTCATATGTTGAGCTCAGACTTGGCTTCAATCTGGAATTGGAAACCAAGGGAAGGACTTGAATCTTGCTTCTGCAGACAGTTTAGATTGGATGAGTTTAAGCCAAATGAAATTGCAAGCAACCCACATTCTGGCACAGTTTAATTAAGAAACTAAAGATGCAAAGATCCAGCACAAACTCTGTTTGAGAAACTCTGGCCTTTTAGGCATAATTCCCAGTAACAAACTGTGCAGCCCAGAGTACAGGAACATGTGGATTTAAAGATGCCTACTGAGTTCTCAATGTTCTTAGCAGAAGAGTCTTTTTTCATAGATGAAAGATGACATAAAATAAAGTGATGTCACTAAATAATTGTACTGAATATGTCATTAGTTCAAGGTTAGATAAGCACAAAGGAAGCTGATGGCAAAGCATGGACAACAGAATCCAGTTCAATTGAATCAGACCCATAAAAAATGTTATCATACATTTTACATCATACATGTTTCTTTAAAAATTATTCACTTATTCCTTCCTTAATATCTGAAAATTTTTCAACCTGTTCCAGCATGGTGAAACATATATACCTCTGTGCATGTGTATATATATATATATATACACACACACACACACATATATGTTTGAAAACCACACTAAGAAAATTCAAATGGACTTACCCCTCGAAGATGGATCTAGGCCTGAAAACTTTTTTTCCTAGCTTGCTGTTAAATCTTTCAACTCCACATGTTAGGAAACACTAATTTATATTCTTTTATATTGCTCAACCCAGATAGCTCTTTAAGATGGGAACAGCAAGATCCATCGAGAGATGACCCATCCCAGCTCTCTGCCTAAAGGTAGGATTGATTAGTACTGTTTCTCCCATTTTTCATATATTGTTATCTAACTCACACTTTAAGACCACTAGCAATGCTAACTGAACAGACTTTTTCAACCAATCACTCATAATCCCAACCAATCATAATTCCCTCACTATTGTTTGAAATTTTCTTCTTTAGTATCTAACCTGAAACTTTCAGAGTGTGGGACCATGAGTTATCCTGCAGACATGGGCTTCAGAGCATTCCTTCCTCATTATAGAAGCCTTTTATTATATCATGCTCCTTCACAAAATCTTGTAGATTACATTAAATAACTTTTAGTATTACTTCTATTTTTCTAAAACTCTCTTGTTGCTCTCCCTTCCAGATGCCCTTCAGCTAGGATACACTTCTTGAAATGCAACACAACTAAATGCAGGTATGGAAAAACTAATGATCTTCAATCTTTAACCCTCAATTAACAGTGTTGTGTGGTGTCCTTCTGTTATACACTGTGTTTATGGTTATGTAGCTACCCAATTTGTAGTTTTACATCAGGACTGAAGTGTGGATAAATACTACAGGTAAGTAAATAAGGGATTTTTAGGAGGTTTTTTGAATCATATAGAACTTTGGAGTTAGATCGAGTAAGAACATGACAATGACATTACCAGATCAACCAATTATGAACTTGAATTAAGACTACAGGATAATTTTGTTGGCTTATTTGTGCTGATTCTAATAAGTGCAATTCTAATTTTGCGTTTACCTGTTTTCATTCTACTAATATCTAAGTACATCATAGAATAGTTTGGGTTGGACGGGACTCTGAGCAACTGGATTTGGTTGAAGACATCTTTGCTTACGGCAGGGGAGTTGGACTGGGTCCCTGACCCTGAATGTTTCCAGGGATGGGTAATCGACCACCTCTCTGGGCAACATGTTCCAGTGTTTCAAGATCCTCATCATAAAAAATTTTTTCCTCATACCTATTCTAAATCTACCCTCTTTTAGTTTAAAACCATTATCCCTTGTCCTCTTACTACAGGCTATGCTAAAATGCTTGTCCCCACTTTTCTTATAGGCCCCCATTAAGTACCAGAAGGCTGCTATAAGGTCTACCCAGAGCCTTCTCTTCTCTTGACTGAACAACCCCAACTCTCTGTCATTCCTCACTGGAGAGGTGCTCCATTCCTCTCATTATTTTTCTGGCCCTCCAACAGGCCCATGTCTTTCCTGTTCTGGGGGCCCAGAGGTGGACACAGCACTCCAGGTGGGGTCTCACAAGAGCAGAGTGGAGGGGTAGATTCACCTCCCTTGACCTGCTGGGTATGCTGCTTTTGATGCAGCCCAGGATACGGTTGTTTTTCTGGGCTGCAAATGCACGTTGCCAGCTCATGTCCAGCCTCTCATTTACCCTCAAGACCTTCTCAGCAGGGCTACTCTCAATCTGTTCATCCCCAAGCTTGTTTTGATACTGGGGGTGCCCTGAATGAATATAAATTACATATAATATATGTAACAATCATTCATCAGCCCAGTCATCTCATATCACTGCTTGGTATAACAAAGCAGGAAGCTCATCTACTTAATTGAAAACCCCTATCAATATTAAATTTATCAAAAAGTAAAAAAAAAAAAGAGATTAAAGTATATTCTGGAAATAATTTATCTGTAGTCTCTATAAGCCAACTCTTCTCCTCAACTTTCTCATAAGAAAAATGCTGATACTAATGACTTTTTCTCTTCTGGAAACTCTTACTGAAGAGAACCCTACAGCATTCATCTATGTGTTATATTGATGATGAAACAGTTACATATTCAGTAAGCCTCCTCTCTGAGATCATACACAAAAACCCTTATCTGTTTAAAGACAGTAGAGATTAGTGCATATATAAATTCTACCTTGTAAAACCTTTCCTGTCCAATAAAAGACAGCTAGAAAAAGTATACTGTGGAATCTCTTTAACACAGTAAATAAAAGTAGGTAGGAGACATAAAGCTGTTCCAATTGTAAAGAAGGGAGAAGCAGTAGTTTTTCAGCAACAATTAATGCTATACTAACTGATAAGCTATGGATAAGAGGGGAAATCAAACAGAATCCAGGAAAGTATTGTTAAATTCATTTCAGCCCTCTCATGTTGCAAAGGCATGGCTTGCTGTCTGTGGTGGGAAGGAAATGAGAACACTATTTCTTTTTGTCTGTGACTCTAAACCACTAAAGGTTTTATACAGAGGAACGTGAATTTACCTTGGGTCCATTTTCACAGTTCCCAGATGAGAAACAATGATGACCTTAGGGAGCCAGCAGTGTTCCCTTAGTAGTCTCTATATTAGGTATTTGAAATACATTGAAAATTAAAATTATAAGATTACTTCCCACTTAAGACAACATGTTGATTGTTTAAAAATATGAGCAAAATTAAAGATGAATTTAAGAAAATCACTTATGGCACAAAAAGCACATTAGCACTGCCCACATCATCATTTATAGAGAAAGGTGGTTATTTTGGCTGAGATGACAAATTACCCTTCCACAGCAGAAGGAAAAAATAGTTTACAGTTCAAGCTGTAAAGTTATTAAACGAGGTCTGACTGTACTAAGAAATGCACAATATATTAGAAAAGTCAATTTCTTAAATTAAATGGCAAATCAGCAAGTGGATGAAGGACTGACCTTGGAACGGGGTGGCGCTCGGATGTACCATTTACAGTCTACTGCTTCAGTTTCAGAAGCTTTTCCTTCTTTGACAATTTGTACAGATTCCACAATTCCTTCAGGTCCTCCCATCTCAAACTCACAAACTGAATAACAAAACACCAGAAAAAATGAAACCTGAACAGCAAACAAAAATATTTTCTACAGAAGAGTATAAAGGCCTCCAAGTTAGAAAAAAACCCAAAACCAACATACCAACCTGGCAATGGTTTCAAAACGCCAAGGTCCTTAAAATCTGGATCTTAAAAATAGAGAAAAATAAAATAAGTTTTGTTCAATATTTAGGCTTTAATGTCAATGTGCTAAAATTTGATAATGTGCTTCAGTGATATAATTATACATATACTTCTTGGAAATGAGAAATGTTTCAAAACTATGGCAACACACTAATTATTAATGCAGAAATTATTGATACTATCATACCAAGTTATTTTCTTCTGTTATGAAATCCTGCTTTTCTCTGTCTCTCTCTTTCAGAAGAATAAGTTCAAAAATATTTCTGCATACATTAGCGAGAACATCACACAGCTAACCACATGATATTTTAATACATCAGCCTAATGAAAGAGGATATATTTACAGACCCATTCAGAATCTTTTTGTCTATTTTGCATTTTACAGTATAACACTCAACTTAACTAGAGAAATCTAAACTTCATTTTGTGTTTGTGAATAGTCTGCCATCCCCACTGACCAAGAGGAGACATTTCTTTGTCAGAAGCATCCATTTGGCCTTACGGGGAAAAAGTATCATAAGGATTTACAGTGGAATTCATTGTGTTAACAAAGTAATAAGTCTAATATGAGTGCTATTTTCCATCAGATAAACATGATTATATTTGCTGTCTGATAGGGTTTGTATCACGCTTTTATAGCCAGGTGTAATAAATAGAAGAAATGAGTTTGGTCTTAGACCTATGCTTCAATAAACAACAATCCATAGACAAATCATCATTTCACAATATTTGGCCCAGTTTGAAGATACTGTCCAAAATCAGCATTTCAAGATATGCTTTCTTAGAATAAACTGGTCTTGTCTGGGAAATTTTTATCATTTGCTTCTCTACCTAAAACAAATGTTTTGCACTGTTTTTCTCATTTACATATAGGGCTGATCTTCTTGTTTCAGAATTGGGCCAATGAAGAAAGAACTATTAATAAAACAATGAAGAGAAAGCTTGGAAGTCGGAGATGTATCAAATGAAACAAACCAAACCCACAACCAATCCACCACCAAAACTCCTGTTTACCTCTAGTCTTAGTCTATCCAGGATAGTAAGAATCATAACCAAATAATACAATGAAAAATCTAGTGTTTTGTAAACAAGATTGGCCATTTTAACCTGAATGGTCAAAATGTGTTGACTTCAAAAACTGGAGTTGTAAAATCACTTTTTAAATTATTCCTCTATAACCAGACTGCTTTTGTTCTTCCCATTTATCTTTTACAGTTGAAAAATATAAATCACAAGTAAATACTCATGACCTTCTGGAACCACAAATATAACTGAGTAGGCAACTAGCATTAATTGTTAAGCAGTTTTATAGATCAGTAGATACATATGATAAATCAACAACAATAAATGTAATCAAATATTTCAGTTAATGTACTTGGATGTTGATAACTAATGCTGAAACAAAACACTTTGACTTCTGGTTCAAATTAACATCCCAACTGTATCCCATGTAACCATTGCATTTCTTCCTTTAACTAAGTTTGCAAGGATCACTCTGATCTACTGAAAACACTCCACCACATTAGTAAAGTACAAAGGAGGAAGAAGGCAAAAAAGGTCCTGCCAAGATCTTCCCCGTATGAAGGAGTTTTCATATAAAGCAGTACCAGTAGCAAGAATCCAGGCTGAAGTGTAATCTAGACCATGCAATTTGCTGCACAAAACAATTCTTAAAGTATGTTCTTGTGTAACAATACAGTAACATTTCTGTGCACACAGAAATGCACAGTCTGTTAACATTCTAGAAATATGGTAGATCTTGCTCAGCCTTGAAAAATAATCTTTCTGCAATTTTTCAACATTTCAAGAGTGATGGTGAAATAAAATCTACAACACCTGAGGTGTTATATTTCATTACCATCACTAGTATACCAATACTATTATAATAAAAACAAAATCTGTAAATAAGGTATTATCAGAGATGCTTAAAATTCAACCACGTTTAAGCATATTTGCCCAGTAAAATATTTGCTTTTTAAATAGTCTACATTAAATAGATTAGTCTTTAGCAGCTCTTTTGTATGTAATTCAATCAAATTGTTATTCTCAGTCTGGCTGAGTCAGAACACTTTTAATGATATCTAAACACTGAGTGGCTAGATCTTCCAAGAGAGAGATGAAAATCATGTTCCCAAAAGGAAAAATTCCCCAAGCAGGAAAACTCTCAAAAAAGAGTGAAAAAGAAGATAGATCACCAATAAGAAGAGAGAAAAATAGGATGCAATAGACTTAAAGGGCAATGAAATACATGCAAATATTTTTATGAGGATCTCCTTAATAGCAAAATGAAGTATGTAAAGATAAAAACAAGAATGTTCATAAAAATTTTGAAAATATGTAAAGGTTATGTAAATGGAAGACCTTACATCCAGAAGTTCTGTGACTCTTTCCTGAAGCATTTGAAGTCTCTTTTAAAAAGAAGTAACTCAATAAAATAAAGGTTATTTCCTCCAGTGATATATTACAACCCACTCCACAATAACAGATTGCTGCAATGTTTATTTATTATAAGCTTTACTGTAAAGCACTTGAAACTTTTTACGAGATGTAAAAAACTGTACCAGTTTATTTAGAGTTGCTGGAAAACAAAGCCAAAGTGAAACTTTGGAGTGGCCTAGGGTGAAAATGATGGTAATCTGTAATTTCCTTAACTAATAAAAAAAATGTAGTGAATGAGCAAACAGTGAGGTGGACCATGCCTATGCTGATATTGATCATCTTAGCATGAAGTCAAGTTGGAGGCCAGTGATGCATCAAAGGGGTCAATACTGGGAGAAATCCAGTTTAATATCTTCATTAACAACCTGGATGATGAGACAGAGTGTACCCTCAGCAAGTTTGCTGATGACACAAAACTGCTGAGGGGTGGCTGATACACCAGAGGGTAGTGCTGCCATCCAGAGGGACCTCAAGAAGCTGGAGAAACAGATTGACAGGAACCTCATGCAGGTCAACAAGGGGAAGTGTCAAGTCTTGCACCTGGGAAGGAGCAACCCCATGCACCAGAAGATGCTGAGACCACCCAGCTGTAAAGCATCATTGCATAAAAGGACCTGGGGGTCCACCACCACATTAAATACGATCCAATAATATATCCATGGAGTAAATAAGGCCACCAGTATCCTGGGCTGCACTAGGAGGAGTGCTGCCAACCAGGCCAAGAGAATTGATCCTTCCCCTCTACTTGGCACTGGTAAAGCAACATCTGGAGCACTGTGACCAGTTCTGGGCTCCCCAGAACAAAAGCAATATGGAGCTGCTGGCATCCAGCAAAAGGTTATGAATCTGTTTAAAGGACCAAAGCATCTCTCATATGAGGAAAGGCTGATAGAGGTGGGACTGGTCAGCCTGGAGAAGAGTAGGGTCAGAGGTGATCCTACAAATCTGTACATAAACCTGAAGGTAGGGTGTAAAGAGAAGGGAGCCAGGCTCTTTTCAGTGGTATCCAGTGACAGAACAAGTGGCAATGAGCACACATCAAATCACAGGAGGTTCCGTCTGAACATCAGGAAACACTTTTCCATTGTGAGGGTGACTGAGCACTAGCACAGGCGGCCCAGAGAGGTTACAGAGTCTCTGTCCTTGGAGATATTCAGTAGCTGTCTAGACACAGTCCTAAGCAAGTGGATCTAGGTGACTGCTTGAAAAGGGGGTTGGACAAAATGACCTATAGAGGTGCCTTCTGATATCAGCCATTTTGTGATTACTAAACACCAGAACTGGATAACAGTGGAATAACCAGTCAAAAGACTAGACTTGTTAATTAAGGTATAAGCAGAGGTTAGATAAATTTTTATCACAATGCAGACTTATTCTTGTGGAATTTGTTTTGAGTCATGGGTGCATATGTATCCAACCTGGAGAAAACTGAAATATTTAGGACTGGTTTCAAAAAGATCCACTAGGTCTTCATGGGAGACTCTAAATATTTTGGATGTTGGCTTTGCAATCTATTCCATATCTGGCCCATGGAAATCATGCCACATTTCTTTATTTTTCCTTTCACTGTTACTATGCAACAAATCTGGCTTTTCTAAGCAGCTGGCAAACATGAAATTTAAATGAGAAAACAGAACGTCAATTGTAAGGAGTTAGGGCACCTGACTGCTCAAAAATCTTATGAAGTAAAGAAAATTGTAAAGTAAAAAGGGAATGTATATTAACTGGATTAAGTCTTCAAAAAGTATGTAGATGCCGATGTTTACAAGTACACCCCATCATCTGATGTTATTGCTGAGCTGTGGTATATCCACACAGAGATATGTTTATGCACTTATGCATGCATGTAATCCCTTACTCTGTGTCACTTGCACAGAAAGCGGAATTCTATTACTTGAATAATTTCTATAAGAGACAGGGAAAAGGCATAAAGTTCAAGCTAATTGCAAGCAACAAGGTGTGCTGCTGGTAATTATTATCTCAAAACAATTTTAAAAGATCACATTTTAAGTAAAAAATCCACAGTTAGAAAAACCGTTCAGCTTGTCTTCAAAGACAAATTGCACAAGGCTTCTAAAAGTAATGTTGTATTACAGAAAAATAAGAGTATTTTCTTTCTTATAAATGCTCAAAAATGTGAGTATACATCTTGCATTTTATTACTCTATTTCTTTAGCTTTTCATATTAAAAGTTCATTTCACTTTCTTACCCTGTCAACATCAAACCTGCTGCTCTCACTGATAAAAATTAATAGTTATCTCACTCTTGGAAGTCAAAATATTTTAGTCAATGTTTTAATACCTCTTATAATAAATGGAAGATTGAGTTAGTGTGGAGCATATCTGGACTACAATATACTTAATTACACATTTTTTTTAATGTTGAAGTACAGTATATCCAGTGAAGAACATGAGCAATTGCTGCATGGTTAAAAGTCAAGATGAAGGAAATGTATACCACAAAATCCAGGTGCTGATTAATTTTTGAGGTATTTTGCTTTCTTCTAAAAATGAGAAATGAAGGAAATTTTTTGAACAAACTATACACTACAAAGGGTTGATGTTTGAGATGTAAAGGAGTTTTTGCTGTTTGTAAATACAAAACCTCCTTTTTAATGGATACATACAGCAAGTAGTCACAGTATGTAGAAACCATATTTCCTAATGTTAAGTAAGGAAACCCTCCACTTCTACTCACTAAACAGACAGCTGTAGATATGTCTTTTCATTTCCCTGTCTTTGACTAGAAATGGACATTCAACTTCTATCTATCAATATTTAAGAAATTTTAACACATGCACATGCTTCACTGCCAGAGAACTTATTAGAGACTTGATTTTGCATGTAAATGCTCATAGAAAAGTAAAGAGAATTGCACTATTCAGTAAGCAACCAACTATTCATCTTCACGTTTACAAAGTCAGGTTCTTTTACAGTGATTTCTGGGAATCTAAATCAGTCCTACCCTCTTGAGCAGTGAGGTATAGTTCTCTGTAAAAGTAGAGCTTGCAGAACTCAGTACTGAAAAGGTATTTCATGTTGTTACCTCATTGTATTTGATGATACAGTAAAAATACTGGAAGATGATGCCCAAAAGATTTTAAAAGCATAAAAATATGCTCAAAGAATCATTAAAACAGTTCTAAAATAGAAGAATATTTCTACAAGTAAATATTTTTGTGAGGTTCACAAATAAAGGGGACTTAGCTATTCTACTGGGGAGAGTAAAGAGAGAATACTAAGTAAAAAAAATTACATTAAATACCTGTGCAAAACTCCACAAATTATTGTCATATTAGCCTAAAATGAAATTTGTTCTGATTAATCTTTTTGTATTTGTAGTCTTCCTGAAAATCCCATGTATGTCTATATCTGTACTAATGGTACCAAAGGAACTTTAAAGAAAGTCTGTGGTTTGCTAAACACCCTGAAAAAGTTCTATAATAATTATAGTTGGCAAATAGTATGTGCTGTATTTGCTCTTTATTTTCTATGTTCTTTGTTTCAAGGACACTTTTGTGAGCAAGGGAAGCTTTTTTGGAGGCTGCGCATTTATAATCTAAAACAATGCTTCTCAAAGTTTTCACTTCTTAGCACAGTCATGGAAGAACTCAAAGCTGGTAAGTGCAAATGTAGTAATGAATATGATTCCTGCTCTTTCACCTTGAAAATCTACCAACTATTAGACCAACAAAAAGTCATATAAAGACAAATGTTTTTGAAATAACACAAACTATCACCTGGAAGTTTGATTTCTACAATATCTTTTTTTTTTTCTTTTTTTTTCTTCTGTCACTTTATTAATCTCAGCTCATACTCACAATCAAAGTATCTTTATAGTGTAATTGAGATATTATGGTAATTTACAAACTGCACTGCTATGGTGACCTCATTAAAACCAGATATACTGGAAGTGTTAGCAATAGTTGGACATTTGTATGTTTCTTTGACGTCTTTTGGGAAATAAAAAGAAAATATCATCAGAAAAAAGAAATCTGCGTCTTTCCATAACTTCTCGCTAATATTGGTCAAACTGAGCAGACAAGATTGTGAATGAATTTCACTCAAACAGAGCACATGGTTACCGCAATTGCACTTAAATTTCTCTTTCCATATACACAATGGCAGGCTTTGACATTTTAGCCTGCTTACCTCCATTGTCTGCTCTGTAAACCATTTAGAGTAGGGACTTTCTCCACTGTAAATTTTGTATGGGTGAGAACTGTGTTAGAAAGTAAAAGGTCTCATAAGAGCCTGGGTGTCATCTTCAAATGGTGTTTGGACTATTTGATATGTGCTCTTAAATCCCAGAAGTGAGAAGTGCTTCTTGGAACTGACTTAGTGACAAAGGAGAAAAAGAATGGGAAACAATATCATACTCAGGCTGATGAGTGGAAAGAGGAAGCCTGGGAGCCTTGATATAAGTAGGATTATTTGGTAGATAATTTTTAATATGTTAAATATTTACAGTACCAACTGAGTAATTCGGTTAGGCACTACATTCCCTTTATGCAGCACACTGTATGTCGAAATGCAGGGAAAAAAGGATCCTATGATGAGTATCTCAAAGGCTGCACGTACCTTCATCTGCTGGTTTCCTGAAAATGTGTGAAACAAGACTGAATGAGCTCAGGAGTCCACTTTATCTGAGTAATGCAGCTTTGCTGTGACAGGGCAGCTGACTTGACCACCAGGACTGACTATCAATCAAGGGCAGCACTTTGTATGTGTCTCCCCAGGATAATATCCCAGAGGCTTCCTGTAATTGACTAATAGTCTCTGAACTTGACTAGGAAGAGAGATGTGTGATGCTATGGTGCTTTTCCTGAATAATGTTGAATTCTAAGTATTCTTAGTCATGCAATTTCAGCACAATACTACTAAGGCTCGGGACGTGTCTCATTTTTTATGGATGACTCCTAGCTCGGTCCAAGGAAATAACACTTTAAGTTCATGGCAGAAGACTAGGAGAAAAAATGATCCAGACGGTTTAGCTTCAACTGATTGCCAAGCATTACTTCTGCAGATTGAACCCATTTATACATGATTATTGCTTCCTACCACTGAGTGCTGAATCTGCATATTCTTTTCAGGATATTCATGCTGTATCAGTCCACAGAGTGAATTTCTCAGGACAGAAGGATCTTATGGGAATAACTTGGTGATATAAAATAGCCTTTGTTGTTTTATCGTAGGAGAAATACTTTCTCCTAGTTTTACCTCAGGACATTCAACAGAATGAATACATTCATGGAAGTATTCCTTTGAATAGTTATATCTTTTAGAGTTAATATAGTCAAAAGAATATGCTACTTGTGCTACTTCAAATAGTACTGCATCACTAATAGTTGACTGCACATTATGACATATTTCCAATAAAAAAAGAAACATCAACACAGTGTTTACACCTACTAATATTCTCCTGCTGAAGTTGGCCATGCCAGTGATGGCATCTTTTTGAAGATAACTGAATCTGTAATGAGAAAGTCAAACATCTCCTCTAGTTTCCACATGTCAATAGTTCACTTTCCACTTTAACAAGAGAATTCTTGCACTGTTTCCACATATTTTTCTTCTACAGCCTAGCAAAGCACCAGGTGGTCTTTTGCTAAAGGAAGAATCGTGTCAGGGAGCACCAGAAGGGAACTGAGTTGTGGTTGTAGAAACATCTGCTTGCTTAATCATCTGGCCATATATCAGAAGGAGATGAAACAGACAAATACCCCAGAAAATAAGATACTTAGATTAGAAACAAGTGAAATAGCCATAGTCACAAAGTCATTTGTTACTTTACTGTGCAACTTTTAGATATTGAAAGTTATTGGATGAATTATGTTCTGGTACTCTCCTATGACAGTCTTTGTATGATTCAAAACAGTCAATGTCACAGGATGTTTTCAATGTATTCAATATCCAAAGTAGAAATCTCTTGGTGTTTAGGATCAAAGGGAAAAATCTAGATTTCCATCCCCATTGCAGCCTGAATGTTCTCTTTCTAAAGGAAATATTAAAAAAAATAAATAAAAAGACCCTAGAACATATCAAAGGAAGAGTGAAATTCATTTGTTAAACCTAATTGTCAACTCCAATTGTAATATGTGCTCGCCACAGACACTTTCAGTGAACAAGGAGAGGAACTCTAAAAGTCACATAGCTCTATGAATTGCTGAGGAAGGCATATCAACACCAAGAAACATATCAGTCCCAGAAACTGTGGGAAAACCAAGTCTTCTGTCCTGTCATTTTAGAATTCAGAGCAGTATATTTTTCAGTGACACCAAATCTTTCCTTCTTCTGCTACTTTTAGGAGGTTTTCTGCCTAGAAACTGTCCTTTCAGGGTGCACTGAGGTGTTGACCACAGCAGTTTCCCCAAATGTACAAAAACTCTCTACAGAATGAGAAGAAGGGTTTTCAAGAGCTTTAGCTACAGAGTATACTGTGAAGCTTCTCTGGAGATATTCTTGCACTTTCTTTTATTTCTTCATCTTTCTAACTGCATAGGGGAGCAGCTTCCTTTGAGGAAGTGTTTCAGAAAGAAGATAACTGTGTGTTAAAATGCGAATTCCCTATTTAAATTCCCCCAAAACATATGAATTTTACATTTAATTATACAAGCTAACATTTAGATATTTAAAGGGTATAAATAATACATGGGAAGTGAGCGACAGTCCTTCCACTTTTTCCAGTATTATGAAATTCAACTTCTCCTGACATTATGGGAGAAAAACATTTTGATAAATTTTTGGTTAAGCAAGATTTTTGGCCTTACAGTTAATTTGTTTTCTTTTGGTTATAACTTCATGAGAGCGACATTCCCTTTGGTCAAATTGATAATTTTTCTCCAATTTCATGCAATTAAAAGTGCCAGAGAACAGTCTAAACCACACTTAATTCATAATACTGACCTGTAGTAGATATAAACTGTTGGAAACAAGACATAAGGTCAGATGGGACTTTTATTATTTTCATGAGAACAGCCCTACTGTACGCCTTATTATGTATTGAACTAAACCAATATTCATAATTCATACCAACTCTAGCCCCAAATATTTCCACTTAAATTAACGAATAAAGATTGTTGCTCATGAGTAATAGTAAGATATGTTTTGCCACATGCCCGCATGCAAAAATCAACATGATAATAAATTCTAAACCAGAGGGTATTGTCTTCAATCTTTTTAATTTTTTTTTTTTAATAAGATTCTCATTGCGGATCCTCCGTCCTCTCTGAGTATCATTTGTGCCACATGCTCTGTGTTCACATGTGGTTTGTCATGAACATCAGCAAACAATGAGTCTGTGGGTAAGTGGAGATCTGGAACCTAGAATACGAATTGAGTAAGATTCAAGTCTATAATAACTCTGTTACTGCTGACTTTTCCTCACCCCAGAAACTCCAGATTCAGCAATCCCTAAACAGTGATTATATTTAGTACATATCAGTAAATTTTTAATTTTATTATCATAACTTGAGAATTTAGGTTTAAAAAATATAGTTTTCATGGAATTTAACAGATTTGCGTTTTTTTTATCCTGTATTCAAAATCTACCTGTCTGAAGCAGCAATTTAATTTCCACTGGATTTATTCGCAATTTTAATACTTATTTTAAAAGAATGAGGCTTAGGTCCACAACCTGAGCTGGTAAACAGTAGGATTTTTCCTAGGTTTATTTAAGAGTCATTTAAAGTTCTAGAGATAAAAAGAAAAAAAGTTAAACATAAATTAAACTTTTAATTTAAAAGTACTTGGTAAGCCATTAATTAATCTATATTTATATTGGAATATCACTGGTATGCAATATTCTAGAATATAAAAAACTATATTAATGCTGCAAATTATTCTAGTGGAGGATGAACATATAATTAAATTTGATTTTTGAAATCCTAAGCCAGTATACATTTTTTATTAAAAAACAAACAAGTAAACTAAAAGCATAAACTTATTTTGTAGAATTTCAGTATGGACTTCATAGTTGGTAGCAGTTAATAACCAACTGCCTAATTCCCATAGTGAAATCAGTGTTTAGGAACAAAATATTTTTAGTAAGTTTTTTCTGCATTCTCTTTTAAATTAATTTTCAGACAGACTTGAGAAATGAGCTACAAGAAATAAAAGAAAGGGAAAAATAGAATCCAGAGAAAACAAGAGATGGTATAATACAATCTTTTGTTAACCCACATACTGCAACCAGCAGATTTGATAACATTGTCTCTTGAGCTTCAACTATCAGATAACATCTGGCAAATGATGTGGGTAAGTCCTGTTACACAACATCTTCTGGCTTCTCAGTGCCATTTAGGGGACTGATATGTGACTAGAATAACACATTTCACGCTGCCTGCTTCTGTCATGCTAGTACAAATTTTCCACAGACACCAGTTTATTTAAATCTGAATTCTCAAAATAAATTTGACAACTCTCTTCTTATCATCTTGCTCATGACTCAAGTTGCTGGTTATTAGATAGTCTTTTGACATCAAAGTATTCAAATAAACTTTCTGCATCTTTAATGTGCAATGACCTCTAAAACAATATTTTAGATGTTGATCAAAAGCATTTGTTTATTTATTTTCACAATTTTTATTCTGTTCAATTGCATTCTCAATTGTTTGGAAAATCTCATCATCCTATACGTTAAAAAAAAATTAATCAAAAGTTCATTTCATACTGTACACTCCAGACCAAAACATTTTGTCTCACTGGAGTTAAAATCTCCTCTAAAATCTATTTGAGGAAATCCTAATGTCAGGCATTAATTTCCCTAGTGAATTGGCGACTATGCTGAGATCATGTAAACAATATGTAATCGACATAATCAAGAAGGGTGTTCAGAGCAAGAATAATATGAGTATTATATAATAACAAAATTGCTCCTTTCAAAAAATTATCCATATGTACTGCTTTATTTTTATTTTAAAAAGCCCCTCTGGATGCACTATCAAAAGTTCAAATAGTCGGAATGTAGTAAAAATGTACTGGAAACTTTTTTTTATGTTTCAAATTTTAAAACCATGGAGTGGAACCAGTACTCATTGTAAATGGTTGCAGAACTTACGTCACTTCATTTACAACTTATAAATCTGACTGACCAACTGAGTTGGACCAAAAAAGCTTCTCTGAATTAATTATGTTCTAAGCAGAAGATGGCTGAAGTAAATTATTTCATTTCAGACAATTCCAAGGTGGTTTTTTTAGGGGCAAGGATATCTACAGGAAGAATAGCAAAGGAAGAAAGACAAATCATAAATCATGATCCAACAAAAACTCATCTTAGTGTAACAGATTATTTAAAAAAAAAAAAAAAAAGGAAAAACTGGGGGTTAGTAAATTAAACCTACTTAGGGCTATATTAGTGTGATACTTGTCAAACAGACAAAGTCTGAATTGATGCAGTTCTACGACATCATTGGTGTGAAGGTAGAAAAGTAGTTTTTAATTCATGACAAGAGTGGAAGAAACACTAGTTCCATTCTCCAAAATTAACAAATATTTTATTTTGACCTAGCACAATAGATGGAAAGGTAGAGGACAGTATTTAAACCTACCTACTTTTAAATAAGTACCCAAATCTGGAGGTTGTCCAGATTTAGGCACATGCTTCGATGTAGGTTTCCTGAAGTTCTTTGCTAAATTGGGACTAGATTTAGTGGCTTGTCAGTGCAGCATTTGAGTACAGTAAGCTTAAGCAACTGTTCTTGGGAATTATCCTTGGGCATATCAGAAAGTAATTTCAGAGATTTTTGGTGGATTACAGTGTTAAATTATAGTAGCTGTTATTCTTAGTTGGCCTGAGGGCCTTTATGAAGTGAACAGCTTTTGCAGAGAAACAAAAGAAGGACATCTAGCATTTGGATTTGCCATAATAAAAAAACATATGCAAATTGAAAATATGTACACATCGAACATAAATTGAATAAAAAATTACTTGTTGGTTTTCCCAAACAAAAGATTAGGAATATCTCTACCTAATGTGAATTAATGTTGCAAGGAAAAAAGCCCACATTTAATCTACTCAGCATTCACGAACATTAAACAATACCCACATTAAGCATGTGACTCTTACATGAACTCATTATTGCCACTATATAGTTTTTTATAGATTTTCATATTTCAAAATGTGAATTATTTTGAAATTGGACTTAACAATTTCAACTTTTTACTTCCTCAATGTTAATGGTTATTTTTAGGATAACACATCTGCATCTATTGTATACATGACATCAGGCCAATGTTACTGAGAGGAAATTTGTTCGTAACTCCTCAGTGTATGTAGAAGATAGAAGTATATATGATAAAAAGAATCTGTCATTAGCTTTAGGTAGGTTATAATTGTACAGAGAGAGAAAAACTGAAAAAGAAAAAAGGGAAAAAAACAGAAAGGACTAAGTCTGGGTGTTCAGAGACTTGATTCATGTTCTTGTTTTCCACAATGATTGCGTCTAGCAACACACACATTGGCCAGATTTAACCATACAGATGACACCTACTCAAAGAAATCATTGAATTAATCTGTTCCTTACATGGAAAGAACTGCACATGATAGTATTTCTCTACTCCATGACAGGAGTATGATATTGAAGATTACAATCTCTTTGATATCTTAGCACATAATAGGAGAAAAAGAGAAGATGGATCAAAGGCATAGATACCCTAATGGGTCACCTAAGTTTATTTACAAAATATTTAGAACGAAATTTGTGTCAAAGTTGAATGAAGCATGATCTTATTTTTAGATCTGAGCATCAAAGAAGCTCAAATGTGATATCTGAAATGGAAGAATTACATAGTCTGCATTTCTCAACAGACAGTAAACAAATAATGAGTGGTGGTAGCCATCAATATTGCAAAAGATATATTAAGATGACAACATACACCTCCTAGAACTACAAATATACAAGTAGTTTTCAATAACATTCACCTCAGTACTTGTAAACAAAAGAGACTCTCTGGATTGACCTCTTTACAAAAAATATGAATATTACCCGCAGAATATGAACCAATGCCAGACAGTTGATGAGTATACACAACAAAGGCTGAGAGAGGATATACTTATCTGACACACTTCATAATTTAATAACCATTGCATACTACAAAAATATTCAGTTCTAAAAACAGAAACATGACTTAGTTTTCCAAAGACTCAAATGTTGAAAGCTACTAATTATTGGGCAAGAACTCTCTTTACTAGTTACAGGGAACTTGGAGATTTCTAACA